TCCATCTCAAAGGCCTAAAGTTGGATATATAGCAATGTCAAACTTCATCTGCATACTCGCATATATTATAACCTATCTCTAATCTGCTTAATGCAACTATAAGGCATGAAAATATTAAGATACAATAAACATTAACGTTAAAACTGCTTTGAAACATGTGTATTGTGAAAAGCGCTATACAATTGAAATTGATTGAAAAAAACATTCTGAGTAAATGTGTCTACAGTTTAGACACATTGTTTTAGGCTATAAATCATAACTACAAAACCAAGAATGTAAAGTGGGTGTAAAGCATAAATTTCACACACAAATCACCCGAAACGTGACACGAGACTGACATGAGATTGACACATAGTAAGCAAAGATAAAAGAAGCTGCGGTTTGTAAAATTCCTGCTAAGATAATTAACGTTTGTGTTTCATACATATCTAACATGAATGCAATTCATGCACAGTAAGTCATAGCGTCTTCTATAACACCATGTTTCTTAAGACGGATCACAAATCCAGCGGTCTCGTGGATTGTTCTCGCATTTTCAGGACTGTACGGCTTATGTAAAAACATGTTTTGCAACGTTCACATGTGTTACCCAACCATTACAATATTGTGCAAAAAAAAGTCATTTTGAAAGATTAAGAAATAATTCTCCAAAGTAATTGCTCATTCTTAGAGGACGCATGATTTGGCACGACTTAAAGTCCAGCATTAAAGGACGTCCATCTCTATAGTCATACTAATCTCTTCGTAGGAATCACTCCAATAGAATGAGAAGATTTCGATTTCAATCCTAATATAAGAAGAATGGCGGATGGTGACTAATTCAAACAACGACTATTACCGGTACTTTAAAATAAAAACACACTATGTATTATATTTACATTTATGCATTTGGCAGACAAAAAGCGACTTACATTGTATTTCAAGGTACACATTTACATTCTTTTCAGTTCTATCAGTATTAAACAGAAAAAGATTGCAATTCCTCAACATAAGATTCATATCTACAGTAATAGTTTAAGTCAAACGAGGCCGTTTTACTGCCAATTGTGCCAAATATATTTTCCCAAGAGGCATAAACATACAGACAAGCACCTACACGCACACTGGGATGGAAATAGCAATTCATACATCACAACGGCATGAACACACTTGCACACTGACACATCATTTAGAAATGATGCATGTAATGCCGAGGCTGGAACGCTGCCATGACAGTCTGAACACATGTCAAACTCCTGCACACATGACGTCTGTAATTGCTTTCATTTAGTGCAATGGAAAAAATGACCTACGTTCGTCTGCATAAACATGACGACTGTTACCACAAACATGTGCCGTTATGTATCGTTTACATTCAGACGACATAAAATGTGTAAAGACGAGAACTAGCCCTGGTTTTTAAAACAACTAGGGCCGTTCACATCGACAGAGCCCATTACAGCCAATTTGAGGGGACATTATGCAAATGTGCATCGACTACTACCAAAGCCTAACACATACTTGACGCAAACTTGAGAGTGCAAATGCTTCTAGTCATGCAAGCTCAATTTGAAAGCAATTTATAACATGACGCTGTGCATCAGTTTCCCATTTCAGCTCAAAGACTGCAATATCTATATATCTACAGTACAATGTTTTTTGGAAGAAGTCTCTTATGAACGCATAAGATAATCTTCAGGGTCACATGATCCTTCAGAAATCATTCTAATATGTTGATTTTCTGCTCAAGAAACATTTCTGATTATTTATGTTTAAAACAATTGTGCTGCTTCATAAGTTTGTGCAAACCGTGATACGCTACCATTCAAAAGTTTCTAATCAGTTTTTACTGTTTTTTTAGCCTTCTTTTTAAAAAAATTACGAAATCTTAATTGTTCCAATGTTTCAAAGTTTTGACGGGTAGAGAGAGAGAGAGAGAGAGAGAGAGAGAGAGAGAGAGAGTGTGTGTGTGTGTGTGTGTGTGTGTGTGATGGGTAGGTTTAGGGTTAGTGTAAGGCGAGAGAATATACATTTTGTACACTATTAAAACCATTATGTCTTTGGAGGTCCTCACAAGTATAGCTAAACAAACATGTGTGTGTGTGTGTGTGTGTGTGTAATGGGCAGGTTTAGCGGTAGGGTTAGTGTGTGTGTGTGTGTGTGTGTGTGTGTAATGGGCAGGTTTAGCGGTAGGGTTAGTGTGTGTGTGTGTGTGTGTGTGTAATGGGCAGGTTTAGCGGTAGGGTTAGTGTAAGGGGAGAGAATATACAGTTTGTAAGGTATAAAAAGCATTATGTCTTTTGAAAGTCCCCATAAAACATGAAAAAGCATGTGTGTGTGTGTGTGTTTGGTTATACAGTTTGGTTCAAGGTTAGGGTTAGGTTCAGTTTGGATTAATTGCATCATGAAGCACGACTGATTTCACACACTTCATGTCACACAGTATTAACTCTTAGGTTTTGAGTGAAAGTCACCTGAGCTCTCGGGGGAGGAGACGCTATCAGTCCATCCGATCCATCAGAGATCACGAGCGCTGGACTCTTCCCCTGCAGTTCTGTGAAACTCGTATTTCTCTGGCACAACTTCTGTGATGACAGGGAAAACTCATGAGGGAAAAATCACAAGAGATCTCTTTAACATCTCGGACAGAAAAGACATTAGATCGAGAGCACATCTAGCATCTCAGTGATCTCACGTTATAAATCAGATCGCAACACTGTCTCAAACGGCTCGGATTTGCAATCAAAAGATCTCAATAGGACATTATTAACTGTTTCACCAAATTTTCCCAAGATCAAACAATCTGAGCTGCTCTTAAGGAATTTTAGGAGAAGCTTATGAGGCAATGCTGATAATAAAATGACACACAACAGATGACGATTTTTTCCCAATCTGATGTGACTTTCACTGGAAACTTCTGGCATGCATGTAAGATGAGCATGTCTTTACTCTTGATAAATCAAAATTCATGAATCAACTCAAACTAGAAGCACAAGAAACTCTGGTTTCCAAGGAAAATCTAGTTTGCATAATAGATTACGCAAAATCGAATGAGCAAGAGTGAACGAGCCACCTTCAGATCCATTGAAGATTTGTGACAAAAGAGATGAGAAACATCTCAAACTCCTTAGAAACTGAGAAACCAAACAGCACATAGAAACTGAGGCAGAACATGCGCATCCCAGCACTTTATCACATGAGTCAGGACTGTTATGAGCTATTAAACACCACCGAGGTCAAGAGGTCAACTCAATATGAGCAGTTGTATTTTACACAACTAAACATCAGTTTTTCATGTTTTATTTGCAACTATTTCATGCAACTATTAAGCTTAAAATTGTCTCTTCTTTAGGAAATGTACATTATGCTCAATTAAATGTAGGCCTATGGCATTGTCGTGTCATACAACGTTTTTTTCAACACAATGCCATGTTTATATTATATCACACCGTGCATTTTGCATGTTCCATGAAAATGCCATGGTAGGCCTATGAAGAAATAGTTCGCTGCATGTTTTAAAACAGAACAAAAACGTGTTTTTCTTGGTTTCGACTTAGTGTCAATTTCAAAAAGTGCCAGCGAATTGCCGATACCAAGGTTTTTATACACTACCTATCGTGTAGGCTACCATGTACAGTACATAAACATTTAATCATTCAGTAAGTATCATGGTAAATACCAAAGTACTGCCGCTCATGGGAACCAAAGTACAAAGTGCATACCAATGAAGTAGAATTGTGTATTTTTCAGATGTACATAATAAGTAACCTGTCCAGTTTTTCTTTTCCTGTCAGTTTCTTTAATGGCGGGTCTCGCGTGCATTAGCGCAAACAGTCGCGTCGCGTCCTCGGGACATCATTATTATTAACCAAACTAATGGCTGCTAAAGCAAAGCCAATAATTCCCAGCAGCCATCAGCATTCCAGCCATTTAATCCCCCCTCCATTTACACCTGAATGCGGCGAAAGGTGAGGCGAACTTCTGAGAGGAGAGAGTCAGGGGATCAGGTGAGACTGGCGCCTGCTGTCCGCGTTTAGACAAACCCGCTGCGCGCGCACAATCATCATGATAAAGCGCCTTTGAGGGCTCGCGCTTTCACATTAATCACGCTTCACATGCATTCCTCAAACAACATGTCTCACTGAAACCCTTTACCACAGTGAACACGGTACAACTCCACTTCTCATGCTGGGTCAATGACAATATCAATCTGAGAGGGAAAATTTTGATTTTGATTTTTTTAACACGTGAAAAATGTTTAGAAATGTAATATATTTTATGTGCATTACATTTTTTTTTTTTTTTTTACAGAAACAGTCTAGTGTGGCAACCATAGACATAATAAATACAGATTTATATGTAAATGGTGGTAACCTTTAAGTACTACAATATTTTCCTTGTGTGCACACAACTAAAATAAACACCACTAAATACTAATAATCACGATTTTAATAACATTTAAAAAGTTAAAATCTAAAAATCAAATCAAAAGTTAAAAATATTTAATAACATTTTACCTAAAAAAACGTGCATTTTCAAAAACAGGTATATGTAGGCCTATATATATATAGACCTGTTTTTGAAAATGAAAACCTGTTTTTGAAAAAAAAAAAATATATATATATATATATATATATAATGACAGGGAAAACTTGACTTTTGGATCACCTACTAATCTATTGTACAGAAAATTGCCATATCAGCATGCAAAAACAACTTTATTTGACTTCGATGTCTAAATGTAACCTTATTGTGTAGTCACTTGCTTTCATTGGAAAGCGCATATATTTGGAGTCTAAATTACGCATGGGTGAACGTAGGCTATTTGGACACTGGAATTACACTTGGATCAATTGGAGCTTTTGTTGAAACGCCTTGGTTACAGTTTTGTGTTTGTACTATACAGATGATAGTGGCATTGATCCGCCTCCTCTCAGCCGCGCCCCTGACGCGTGCGTCACCAGCGCTTAAATGAGAGAGCGAGCGCGCAGTCCTGCACTGAGACACTGTGAACCTGTAGAGAGAGCGCACGGTGAGATATATATACCGACTATATTTGGGAGCTCTGAACGCGGTTTCCTTCACTCACACAATTGGTCCAGGATCAGTATTTATTAGGTAGGAGGCGCTCCTGCCAGACACTCTTTGTTCATGACTCTGGAAGTTCACTCGAGGGAAAAGCGCACCGACGTTTGACATCGCTTCAGGAGCAAGTGCAGCAACACAGAAGAAAACTACAACTCAATACGAGCCGTGACACTTGGAAATGGCTTTACCTTGCCTTTTGCCTTCGATTTCAACGTTTGCACACCACAAGGACAAATTTTGGGAGGATGTAAGTATTTGACACTTTTATGCACTTCTGAAACTGAGGTGAATTAAGGGGGCTTTTGGGCGATGTGGTGGGAAACCTAAGCGCGTGCGTGGTTAAAACTGCGGTGGATACATATTTTAAGCGAGTATATTATATTTTCCACTTGTTTACAAAATATATTGAAGATACATTCGCGGAAAACGTGTTAATATTTTAAGTTGTGCTTATAAGGTACATTTATCTTGTTTTATGATGTTAAAAACTTGTGACTGACAGAAATTACATATATATATATATATATATATATATATATATATATATATATATATATATATATACCAAATAATGGATGGATGTATGTCAAATTTATCTTGTTTTACTATATATAAATAGTAGGGAGAATTCAGGGTGATTGGGACACTTCTGGCCATGACTTGGAAAAAGTGTCCTAATCAAAAAAGTGTCCTAATCTTATATATATTTAATCGATATTTATTTACTCAATCAATTCAATTTGATTGGGATTGGGGTTGATTAGGACACTTTTTCCAAGTTCTTTCAATGGCCAAAAGTGTCCCAATCACTCTGAATTCTCCCTATATATATATATATATATATATATAGTAAAACAAGATAAATACGTCATATATATTCATCCATGCATGCTTATGTAGTATATCTGTCTATATGTACAAGTCATTTCTGTCTTAAAAAGATACCCGTGAATGGTTTTTAGCAGATTGTCCTGTAATTCAAAGTGTTGAACTGACAATCACAGTAAACTGCAAAAGTCAAACAAGTCTAGAATTCACCAAATTGAACTGTCATAAAAAGCTTTCAGTATGAGTAACCCTCGGTATTTCCTCGGTTGTGTTGCAGAGGTGGAGAAGTGAGGAGGACAAACCGGTGATGGGCAGCTGCCCTCCGCTCAACGTGGCACAGAACATGGACACATGTCGTGTCCGCAAGGACGACGAGGATCTGAGCAATTATCTGGACCTGGAGTTTATCCTGGCCAACACAACAGGACCTCTCGAGGCAGGAGCCGAATACGTGTCTCACGCGGAGCCATGTGGCCTGTACTCGACGGGAGCGTACGCGTCTCCGGATCCCCCTCCGTACGGGAACAGCCTCATGGCCGAGCTTCTGAGATCCGACATGGACAACACCTACGACGGCACGTTTCAGGGAAGATTCGTCATCAACTCCACTGGGTTCCCCAGACAGGACTTTGTTGATATCAAAGTGGAGCCGCCGATGGACGGTTACGGGCCGGTGATGGGAATGGTGCCGCAAAGCTGCCAAAAAATCAAACAAGAGGGCAACATTTCATGCATGATGTCTTTCGAGCAACCCAGACTGGCCGTTTCTCCGCAGGCGACGGGGAATATGACGCCCCCGTTGAGTCCGGAAGACTCCCACCTGAGGCAATCCGTGTTTCCTCAGGGTTACCATCACTCGCCGGCGCCCTACGCTCAAATGCAACTCCCCTACACGGCGCCGCACCAGTTCGGCATGTTCGACGAGCCCATCGGGATGCAACCCAACATGCAACGGGCTCTCCTGACCCCGCCATCCTCCCCGCTGGAGCTGCTGGAGTCCAAACCCAAGCGAGGGCGACGCACCTGGCCGAGGAAGCGCACCGCGACACACACCTGCACCTTCGCCGGCTGCGGGAAGACGTACACCAAGAGCTCGCATCTGAAGGCACATCACCGAACACACACCGGTAAGAGCGTGTCTAACCTCGTCTTTAAAGGTGCAGTCTGTAAGAATGACAACTAGTGGTCGAAATGGGTACTGCAGTCCAAAATATCGGAGAACGTCGTTTCTCCCGCCACCTGCTCCTCCGTAGACTCACACGGGTTGCACGTTTGAGCACACGCAACAAGAACGAGCGCATTAAACAATGAAAATTGGCAAATTGGCAACGTGCAGTGTCACAGACCAAAACAAAACATTCCACACATTTCAAAGTAAAATAACTGTGTTTTTCTGTGAACTTAGCATGTTTCCTCAATACATGCAAACATATTGTGGTATTTTTATGCTTTAGTTGAGGGAAAAAGTTACATACAGCACCGTTTGTGTTTTTAAACCACCTAAATGTGACTCTTCCGCTTTGTTTCATCAGGTGAGAAACCGTACCACTGCAACTGGGAGGGATGCGGATGGAAATTCGCCCGTTCCGATGAGCTGACGCGTCACTTCCGAAAACACACGGGCCACCGGCCGTTCCAGTGCCATCTGTGTGAGCGCGCATTCTCCCGCTCGGACCACCTGGCCCTGCATATGAAGAGACACCTGTGAGGACTGGATCCACAAACACACAACTGCCTTATTTAATGACTTTAAGACAATCGCCTGTTGTCCGTAAAGATATATATATCATCATACTTTTGTAACAAAGTAGCTGGTACTACATAGATTACGCAGAGCTCTTTTTTGAAAGAAAAAAAAGGTCTTTTTGGGTAAAACAAAGTATCCTGAAGGGCTGGTCCTATGAATCTGTGTGTATGTTTAACAGTGCCTTTCTGAAGCCACGAAGAGTGCAACGCCTGACGACTAGCAAACCTCCAGTGGGAAATGCACGATGACAATGTTTTGCTCTTGAAACTGCCTTGCAACAAACAGAGCTGTGTGTTCAAATGTGTTTGGGTTTTTTCATTTTGATACACTCTTGATTGCATGTGTACTGAACGAAGCATTTCTTTTCAAACGTTGGTGACACTTTACAACCAGTTGATGCAGTAACGATGAGCAATCGATTCGTTACGGTAACATTAACTAACGCTTTCAAATCGTTTTGAATGTTTAGCTGGTTTATCGTGAAGTGTTGCCCAAACGAAGGCACATCGAGTGTCCCTGTTGTACACTAGCACCGTATGCACTGGGGCTTGAAGTCCTGGCTTTTTATAAGATTGTGTATATACATTTTATATTGAAAGTACTGTATTTATTGTAAATATTAAACTAAATTTGAATATATGCATATTTCTCTGGTGTCATGTTCAGTCTGGCCTTTATGATGTCGGTTGCGAGTCTCTTATTATGGGCTCCTTTGAAGCGACGTCCCCAGAAACTGGAGACTCGTATGGCCGATGCACGAGCGCTATTCCTGAACCCCCACTCAAGCTTGTATTATAGTTTAGACCAAGATGCTTTCCAGCTGCGTCAGGTTGAGGCCAGCAGCCTGTGGCTTCTGCCTATAAATACAAACACTACATTTACATAATTACAGAGAGAGAATTTAGATCCGTCTGGACGGAGGGGCGCTCGCTCTCTGCTGAAGATCCCAGACTCCAGAGACACGGAAAACACACGCACATCAAAGAGACTCCACTGGTGCTTTGATGTCGAACGTGGAAGATAGAATACTAAATCTGCATATTTCATACAAATATTTCTTCAGCATAAACTCGTTTCGCTCAGGGATGGAAAGACTGGGGAAAAAAAAAAACATTTTGAGATTTACAAAGAAAAATGCATTTATTTATTTATATAAACAGAACTGGTCAAAAGTTAAGACACGCCTACTCATAGTATATTATTGCTATTTTTTATATTTTAGAACAAAGAAAAGTAGAAACGTATATACATATTTTAGATATGGTGCAATTCACCATTATGAAAATGAAAAAATTAACATGGTTTATAACACAAAATATTCAATTATACATCACCTGCATGCAAAATGTATGTTTATATATTAAAGTTTAATGTAAAAAAAGTATAAAATGTAATCAAACTTAATCAATGTGTTAGTTAAATATTATCTGCATGCAAAATATATTAAAGCAAATTGCTTGTTTTTGATCTGCATGTGTGATATGTATATAGAAATATATAATGAAATGATGCTAAATAATAAAAATAAAACCAATGCATCAAATATTTATATATCACATCACACATGCAGATCAAAAACAAGCAATTTTCTTTAATATAATGAAAATGCTATATAAACAATACCAATGCATCATATATATATATATATATTCTAAGAGTTGTACTTGTTCTGCATGAGTGAGTAATGTGTGAAAACAAAATAACAGGTTCCCTTTTACGCAAATTCAAGAGAAAAAGAAGAAACGTGATCCCGACTATTATTAGCCGACTCGGTGAACTGAAGCAGAAATCTCATTTCACTTTTGTGTGCAGATGATAGTAACTATTACTACCAATCTGACATGAACAGAAAATAAGCTTCTCTTTTTTTTTCCTCCTTCAAAGCAAAACAAACATAAAGGACTGTGTGTTTACGGCATTTAACAGATTTCAAAGTCTCTACAAAAAAACTATTAAAGATGAGATATTCTCCCAAACTATTTAAAAAAAAAAGACAAATAGTGATTTTGAACTTTAAATTCACTTTTGTGTAAAATGTGTGAAATCTGAACACACAAGAGTTGGTCAGTAAGCCCTGACCCCACTATTTAACCACTCAGCACTAAAACCACAACTAAATCCAAAGACTAGACGAGAATGTCTGGCAAAGCGTCTGGATGAAGCGCACGTGTGGATGGTTAAGTAGGTGAAGGAAGAAAAACACAAATGAGGAAAGAGCTGAAGCTTTATGTTTCTGTCACCTGAGCCCTTCTCATTTGTCCATCTTAAAATCAGCGCTTTCAGCGGCCTTCAGTAAACACAAACTCGCACAGGAATTTCCTGTTATTCCAAATGGGGGTAATTAACATACCGAAGCTAAAATTCATGCAGCTGTTAAATTATTTTCACACTTAGATCTCAATCTTTCCAAGGCCTCCGTTTGAGTCCGGCTCGAGCTCGGACTTCATTCTTCCAGCTTGTGTTACTCGACGGATCCAGGAAAAACAGCAATTTGAAGTTGAAGCCGTTCACAGAGCATTCGCGAAAGACAAAGGTCTGATAGACGCACACGAGTGGAATGAAAAAGAGCTCGTCCATCACTAGAGCTTCACAGCAGGACACGTGCATTAGTGATAGTTCACCAACATGAACATGAGCTGCAGATATGAAGCGGATAGCAGGTGCACAGATCACATCTGAAACACTCAATCCGTCTCAATGTTCTGGATCTGAAGGCAAACGAAGGCCTGATGCAATGAAGTCAATTTTAAAAGCAGATGTTTTCTGTTGAACACTGCAGCTTCTTTATTTCATATTTGTCTTTTAATTCAAGTTGCATTGGCTCTTAATGTCTCTTAATGTGGATCATGTCAAGGTCATGGGTTCTGTTCCCAGGTAATGAATGAAATGATGAAACTGTAAACCTTAAATACAGTATCTGACAAATGGATAAACACCTACAAATTTCAATACGGTGGAGGAATATCATAAACATATCCTATGAATATCTGAAATAGAATAACTTCACAATGTATAGAATATATGATAGGTCTTAATAGTCTCCGAACTCTCTCTCTCTCTCTGTCTGTCTGTGTGTGTGTGTGTGTGTGTGTGTGTGTGTGTGTGTGTGTGTGTGTGTGTGTGTGTGTGTGTGTGTGAAGTCAGCACAGTGGTAAACATCAGGAGAGGCAGAATAATGTGTGATCTGAGGATGAAAAACATGAAACAGAGAGCGAGAGGAAATCAGGAAAGATACGAGAGAAGGGGCATTTAAGGGCCATTGCTGTGTGTGTGTCTGTTTGTGTGTGAGAGAGAGTGTGTGTAACTTATAAATATAAAAAATAAACCTTATATATATATATATATATATGTGTGTGTGTGTGTGTGTGTGTAGTTAACTTATAAATATAAAAAATAAACCTTATATATATATATATATATATATATATATATATGTGTGTGTGTGTAGTTAACTTATAAATATAAAAATAAACCTTATATATATATATATATATATATATATATATATATATATATATATATATATATATATATGTGTGTGTGTGTGTGTGTGTAGTTAACTTATAAATATAAAAAATAAACCATATATATGTGTGTGTGTGTAGTTAACTTATAAAAATAAGGTTTATTTTTTATATTTATAAAGTTAGCTATATACACACACACACACACACACACACACACACACACACACACACACACACACACACACAAATATCTATGATTCTGGGAAGAAATGGCTTTTTTACTCCAAGAAAACAAAACAAAAAAACAATGTTTAGTGGATCCAGATAAATACGTTTACCATTTATTAAACATGTTTAATATTTACAAAACACTGAAAAGCAGCACATTGTAAAATTATTTTCAGCCCTTTTCTACAATAGAAACAAAACACGTAAAAACATTGAATGTCAGTAGAATCAACATGACGAAAGAGAGAAAATCAAAACCATATAAACACCCAAATGTACTTCTCTAGCATTCAAACAATCCATAACCTGCTGATTTTAGTGTCGAGTATCACAGATGCAATAAATATATGAATACATAAGAACGAGCTCAATATACAGTATAAGGCTTCACTTCAAGCAAAATATGCTTCTCAAACTATTTCAAGAAAACTAAATCAACGTAGGCAGTGATTTGGTGTCATCCGGCGGATCTGATAAAGATTTAAAGGGTTAAACACAAATACAGCTCAACATTATTAAAGAAAAGCCATCTCACTCTCATATAAATATAGCAAAACCCAAATAAAAAGCAGCACGGCAGATTCCTTCCTTCAAAAGTTCAGAACATGCTTCATTTGATCTTAATGACACTTGCATAATATTAAACCGTTTATTACGGAAGCGTATTGCATTCACTTGAGGAAAAAAATCTACTCTGTTTTTCTGAATTAACGAGTTAATTATCTCAGAATTACGAGATAATTTTTCATGGAAAAAAAGTTTTTGCTCTGTTTTTCTGAATTAGTGACTTAATTATCTCAGAATTACAAGATAATTTTTCATGGAAAAAAAGTTTTTGCTCTGTTTTTCTGAATTAACGAGTTAATTATCTCAGAATTATGAGATCATTTTTCATGGAAAAAAGTTTTTGCTCTGTTTTTCTGAATTAGTGACTTAATTATCTCAAAATTATGAACAACTCATTAATTCATAAAAACAGGAAAAAAATGTTTTTCAAGAAAAATTTCTCTCATAGGTCTGAGATATTAACTCGTTAATTAAAAAAAACAGAGCAAAAACTTTTTTCCATGAAAAATTATCTTGTAATTCTGAGATATTAACTCGTTAATTCAGAAAAAGAGCAAAAACTTTTTTCCATGAAAAATTATCTCGTAATTCTGAGATAATTAACTCGTTAATTCTGGAAAACAGAGCAAAAACTTTTTTTCATGAAAAAATATCTCCTAATTCTGAGATAATTAACTCGTTAATTTAGAAAAACAGAGCAAAAACTTTTTTTCCCATGAAAAATTATCTTGTAATTCTGAGATATTAACTCGTTAATTTAGAAAAACAGAGCAAAAACTTTTTTTCCATGAAAAATTCTCTCGTAATTCTGAGATAATTAACTCGTTAATTCAGAAAAACAGAGCAAAAACTTTTTTTCCCATGAAAAATTATCTTGTAATTCTGAGATATTAACTCGTTAATTTAGAAAAACAGAGCAAAAACTTTTTTTCCATGAAAAATTCTCTTGTAATTCTGAGATAATTAACCCGTTAATTCAGAAAAACAGAGTAGATTTTTTTCCTCAAGTGAATGCAATACGCTTCCGTAGTATATGAACGTGCAACCGAGGCGAAACATTTGATCCAGAGGGATTTGTTGGGAATGCATTAATTATGTGTAAAACATATATGATCATATAGTGCATGTACGACAGTTTCCCTGGTGGATGAAGCTGATCGTAATCAAAAAGGTCAGTGAGATATAAAGCACTTGGGATCAAATCTGCTTTGCAAAACCGACATGGCTGATATGTATTACGATACTGATGATGTGCATAAATAAATGCCTGACGTTCACACTTATATGATCTCAGGATTTGGTAAAGCTGTATATAATCTCACTTCATTGGTTGAGGAAGGCTTTAGGTGTGCAGTGCTTCATGTTCTGGGCACTTCAGCTCGACTGAGGGCGAGGGCCAGTTCCAGGTCTTGTTGTTCCTGTAGTTGAAGTCTCCTCCTCCGCTCCGCCTCCTCTCTCTGGCTCTCGCGTTTGGCCCACTCCAGCTGCTGGGTCTCATTTCCGAACTGAACCGGGAAACAAACGTCATTACAGAAGATACGATTCATCACACAGGAGCACGCATCACTGTAGGGCTGGGCGAGATATCTCTAAATATACATGTAGATTCACATTTTTGAGCACTTATGATCTCTTTTTTTTTTTTGAGCGCTTTAAAAGCGTGATTTTTTTCCGATTCGAGTCGATTCAACATGTATAATCTAACAAAACAGTTAAAACCTCTAGGTAAAATAATCAAGATTTTTTTTTTTTTTTTTTGATTAAAAAAAAAAAAATTCGGATAAAAATTGCGATAGCGATTTAAAAGGTGATTTAAAAACATGCTTGTTTGTATGGCTGCACAATTGGGGGAAAATGGTGTTTATATATCATTATCATTATATATATATATATATTGTTTACATGAATTCTGCAAAATTACAATACTAATATGGTCACACTTTAGTTTAGGCTCCAATTTTCACTATTAACTATAACTTTTGCCTCAATAAACTCCTAATCACTGCTCATTAGGGTTGTTAAGTTTAGGTATTGGGTTGGATTAAGAGATGAAGAATATAGTCATGCAGAATAAGGCATTAATGTGCGCTTTATAAGTATTAATGGTGGTTTAAAATAAACCAGAACTGCACGCATATTTAAATGTAATAATTTTAGTATGTAAAAGTGTAATGTAATGTAAAAGTAAAAGTTTTATTTTATTTTATTAAAGTGTAATGTAAGAGTGTAATGTAACATAAAAGTGTATTGTGATGTTAAAGTTTTAAGCTTGAGTTGTAAGTTCATTTCTGATATGTATAATTTTAGGTAGGTATTTGATTGTCTGTAAGTGACACATTGTGGTAGTTTTATTCTATGAGGCGTATTTATTTTTAATTTTTTTATTAGAAAAGCCTTCCTAGGGACCTGAGATGCAAATTAGCTCTTGCTATACTCTCTATGTGCAATACATATTTTCCAGTTTTGACTGGGATCATGTTTTTTTGTACTGTCCCTATACAAATAAACTTATAAATAAAATAAATAAAAAATAAACAGCCAATATATGCAATAATTTCTATGCTAATAAGCAACTAGTTAAGAATTGTTAAGGTTTGGAATAGTTGCGAATTGGACCCTAAACTAAAACTAATATTTAAAATATTAGTACACAGAGGAACGACATCGTTGGAATCACTTTCAGAATGATTTTCCCCAAAACATTGACAGCCAATCAGAATCCATCCAGCGTTTAAAAGCGTGTGCTCTTAAAGCGACAGATGACAAAACTGCAGCGTGCGCTTATAATAAACAGAACGATATTTTGCGTTGTTGTGAACGCTATTATAAATATTGTTCTTGTGTGAACGGGGCCTTTACTCAGAAATTTGTAGCGCATATTTAATTAATTAAATTGGAGCCTTTGCAATTTGCCAATATCGTAATCGTGATGTCACTTTCAATTGTGCAGCCAAATTATTAATAATTCATAATCAAAATTATTATAGTATTCAAGATGTTGCTTGATTTTATACCGCCAGTAAAAGCATTATGAATATATTGTGACTATTCAATATATCGCCCAGTCCTCATATCAAATCACATGACTTAAAAATCACTCATTTCAAACGAGCACAAGTCATTTGCGCACGATTATGCATTATCCAATCCGTGATTTATTTCTTTTTAATTGGTCAAAAAGCAGCGTGAGGATCATTATTAGATTGAGAGCGAAGAAAGAAACCAAAGCTGTGAAGCCATCAAATGTAAGTTACCAGTGACCCAACACACAGTGAATGAAGTCAAATCCTCATGAACTCATTTTGTTTATGAGATCCATTTCTAAATAACACAGAATACATATATTAGAGGAAATATACAGAGGGCTTAGAAGTATTAAGTCAGACTTAAACTATTTGAATGTGTTTGCATCAGACAGAATATCAAATCAAGTGAACCACAATCAAAAGTCACTTTATAACTAAAAGTTGTCAAAATCATTTCTAAAATAAATCAACATTTGTTTTAGAGTAAAAAAGCACAAATAATACGTGATCTAATGCAATTAGGCATTTTAAGTGTGTCTAAAAGCTTTATGAAGGTGCTTTATATAAGAAAACAATGTCTATACTTCCGTGTTTGAATGCCTTACATGAACTGAACCATTTCTTCTGTCTTGTCATTTCTCACTGCGGTTGGTCTACTGGTCTTACATTTGCTGCTGATGTTTTCTAGGGTTTCAGTATGTGGTCTGATTTCTCAGGGTGATTTGTGAAGGGATTTGTGTGCACGCAGGGTGGAGTAGGCGTTTCATGGTTGAGACAAACACATGCAGAGCGCTCAGATGTGGTCAACAGACCTGCGTTTCACCTTACCTTCATGTTTTCAGTGCCTGGGAGAAAGACAAATTACAGCACAGTTCTAAACAAGCATGGCAAACACAACACAGAGCCTCATGCAACATGCAAAACTGCATCTGCACTGCATGCCACGGCACAGCACACACACACACACACACACACACACACACACACACACACACACACACACACACACAAAGCTAGCAGAGCAAAGATGTGGTTTCAGGTCAGTTGAGCCACTTGTGGCATGACCTGGATTTGTGCACCTATTATGCTTTTTTGAATATTATCTTTCATGTAGTGTGAATGTAAAAGGTCTGTAAAGTTTTAAAGATCAAAGTGCATGACAAATAAAGCTATTGTCTCCTAAAACGAAGAATTGATTTTGAACTGTTGAAGGGAGTTCTCCTGTTACATACCTAATTAACGTAACAAATTTGTATAATTCCAGCCTATGATCTTCATTGGCTGCCTGTGAACGATGTCGTCTTAGCCCCGCCCTCAAACACTGTAGATGTCACTGAGACTGGAAGAGTTTGGTTCATGTTGTTGACATGTCGGGAGAACGCTGTTTTCATCGCTGTGAATCCACTTTGATGCGCTTCTAATGGATGAGGACTCGCGGTGGAATTGATACAGTAAAAGCAACACCATCGTTACTGTTCGTATCACTGTGTATCAAGAGCTGAGGAGCAGCTGAAATTGAGATATGCTAATAGGCGTTTGGTTTCTGACACACGCTGTAAGTGGTCTACCGATCACAGCAGACTGGGCCATCTGACCAATCAGAGCAGAGTAGACCAATCACAGCAGACTGGGCCATCTGACCAATCAGAGCAGAGTAGACCAATCACAGCAGACTGGGCCATCTGACCAATCAGAGCAGAGTAGACCAATCACAGCAGACTGGGCCATCTGACCAATCAGAGCAGAGTAGACCAATCACAGCAGACTGGGCCATCTGACCAATCAGAGCAGAGTAGACCAATCACAACAGACTGGCCATCTGACCAATCAGAGCAGAGTAGACCAATCACAACAGACTGGGCCATCTGACCAATCAGAGCACAGTAGACCATTCACAACAGACTGTGCCGTCTGAACAATCAGAGCAGAGTAGACCAATCACAGCAGACTGGGCCGTCTGACCAATCAGAGCAGAGTAGACCAATCACAGCAGACTGGGCCGTCTGACCAATCAGAGCAAAGTAGACCAATCACAGTAGACTGGGCCGTCTGACCAATCAGAGCAGAGTAGACCAATCACAACAGACTGGGCCATCTGACCAATCAGAGCAGAATAGACCAATCACAACAGACTGGCCATCTGACCAATCAGAGCAGAGTAGACCAATCACAGCAGACTGGGCCATCTGACCAATCAGAGCAAAGTAGACCAATCACAGTAGAATGGGCCATCTGACCAATCAGAGCAGAGTAGACCAATCACAACAGACTGGGCCGTCTGACCAATCAGAGCAGAATAGACCAATCACAACAGACTGGCCATCTGACCAATCAGAGCAGAGTAGACCAATCACAGCAGACTGGGCCATCTGACCAATCAGAGCAAAGTAGACCAATCACAGTAGAATGGGCCATCTGACCAATCAGAGCAGAGTAGACCAATCACAACAGACTGTGCCGTCTGAACAATCAGAGCAGAGTAGACCAATCACAGCAGACTGGGCCGTCTGACCAATCAGAGCAGAGTAGACCAATCACAACAGACTGGGCCATCTGACCAATCAGAGCAGAATAGACCAATCACAACAGACTGGCCATCTGTCCAATCAGAGCAGAGTAGACCAATCACAGTAGACTGGGCCATCTGACCAATCAGAGCAGAGTAGACCAATCACAGTAGACTGGGCCATCTGACCAATCAGAGCAGAGTAAACTCACCGAAAGGAGGGGTTTAGAGAGACTGAATCTTCAAACAAACCATTTTTTTAATCTTTTAGAAATGAGGTGATGAGCATTGTATATTATGAGATAATTAAAGTGTTTTTTGACCTTTGACGCATGTAATGTATGAGGCTCCAAAATAACGTTATGAACATTTAAAATAGCATAATTAAAATGAATTTTTCCCAACTGTTTAATCCTGATTTTGTCTGAGGTTGAATGAAATAAATGTAGCAGTGATACTTGTGCAATTATTTCAATTGTGGAGCATCGTCTCAAACAAATATACTTAAATATAATCGTCATTTAAAAAGCATATAAAAAATGTGCAAAATGACCGTAAAGTAACTGTGACACTGTGGTGAAACCAGCTGGCACTGCATGTCAGAAAACAGGAAGTGTTTTGGTAAACGCTTCTCACTTTTCTAGACCTCAGTGTCATTCTGAGGTCATATTATCATGATGCTTTTGTAAGGTCATTTATACGCATAGTGTACTTCAGGAATATGAAAGGGCATTTAAAACCATCAAAAACATTATTTTTATCCAAGAATTGGGTGTCAAACATGCTAAAGTAGCTTTCATATATAGTTTCTGAATCATAGAGTTGAAGAAAATAAGTTGTTGCAGAAACCAGTGAAAAGCTAAAAAAAATGTTTTGCTAGTTTAAAAAATATACACATTAAAACTCTTTTTTTTTGTTTTTTTTTAAGAAAAATGTAATATAACTTATAACAGTCTTGTTTTTAGTTAAATGTATTTTGATGCCATATTTGCAATTTTTTTTAAGATTAGTGAGATTTATGGTTTAAACCATTTTTGAGGTAAATCAAATAAACAAATGATCTTTAGCCTTGTTATGGATGAATATGATGTATGACTTGTGTATGATGTATGATTATGAAATATGCTTGTTAAAACATTAAACAGCTTCCTGCTTCTTATGTTTCCTTCAAACCAGATTAGTGACTGTATGGAAATGATCAAATTTGTATCTCCTGAAACCAGGAATTACATCATTGTTCTCATCATTTTAATGGAAATATGCAAGCAAAATTGTTTTCTTCCACTATTTTGTCACAAAAAAAAAAACATTACATTTTGGTGAACTAAGGTTAAAAGTCTGAGGGTCATAATAAACATTAGCAGAGTTGATAATGACCCGTGTGTGTTCATGAGTCCAGTACACTTGAAATCAAAGGTTTGGATGGAAACAAATAGGGCGTCTGGTCAAAACCTTCAACACCAGGCTTGTTCCACTACAGGACTTCCTCTTGTTGTTCCTGTTCAGCTGCATCATCAGTAAGCAGCAAAACCCTAGAGCAACCTAAAATAGAGATCAGCATTTTGTTCTAATGTCATTTCTAACATATTTTAAAAGTTGGGGTTTAAAAGACAATTAATATTATTGTTGCATTGACCACATCTGATGAGAACAAAACTAAACTTGAGCTGGATAATGTCATTTAGAGCGTCACGGTTCTGGATTAATTAAAAATCACTATGCTTTTTTTTGTTTTTTTGTTTTTAATAGAGATCAGGATTCTCCCACGATTCTGAATAGACAAAACAACTTTTAATTTACTAGAGATTCTGACTAAATGTTAATTGCTGCAGTCCATTTAAAACATATTTAATTCCTTTGAACTGAATGAATGATTCAATGACTCACTTATAAAGACTTCACTTGTTTCATTCCTGGATGAATCCGTGTTTTTGAATGAATATTGAATGAATGATTCAATGACTCACTTATAAACACTTCACTTGTTTCATTACTGGATGAATCAGTGTTTTTGAATGAACATTGAATGAATGATTCAATGACTCACTTATAAACACTTCACTCGTTTCATTACTGGATGAATCCGTGTTTTTGAATGAATATTGAATGAATGATTCAATGACTCACTTATAAAGACTTCACTTGTTTCATTCCTGGATGAATCAGTGTTTTTGAATGAACATTGAATGAATGATTCAATGACTCACTTATAAAGACTTCACTTGTTTCATTCCTAGATGAATCAGTGTTTTTGAATGAACATTGAATGAATGATTCAATGACTCACTTATAAACACTTCACTTGTTTCATTACTGGATGAATCCGTGTTTTTGAATGAATATTGAATGAATGATTCAATGACTCACTTATAAAGACTTCACTTGTTTCATTACTGGGTGAATCAGTGTTTTTGAATAAATATTGAATGAATGATTCAATGACTAACTTATAAACACTTCACTTGTTTCATTACTGGATGAATCTGTGTTTTTGAATGAATATTGAATGAATGATTCAATGACTCGCTTATAAAGACTTCACTTGTTTCATTACTGGATGAATCTGTGTTTTTGAATGAATATTGAATGAACGATTCAATGACTCGCTCATCAACACTTCACTTGTTTCATTTCTGGATGAATCAGTGTTTTTGAATGAATATTGAATGAATGATTCAATGAATAACTTTGATTCACCCAGTAATGAAACAAGTGAAGTGTTTATAAGTTAGTCATTGAATCATTCATTCAATATTCATTCAAAAACACTGATTCACCCAGTAATGAAACAAGTGAAGTGTTTATGTGTTTTTGAATGAATATTGAATGAATTTTTCAATGACTAACTTATAAACACTTCACTTGTTTCATTACTGGATGAATCTGTGTTTTTGAATGAATATTGAATGAATGATTCAATGACTCGCTTATAAAGACTTCACTTGTTTCATTACTGGATGAATCTGTGTTTTTGAATGAATATTGAATGAATGATTCAATGACTCGCTCATAAAGATTTCACTTGTTTCATTACTGGATGAATCAGTGTTTTTGAATGAATATTGAATGAATGATTCAATGACTCACTTATAAACACTTCACTTGTTTCATTACTGGATGAATCAGTGTTTTTGAATGAATATTGAATGAATGATTCAATGACTCACTTATAAATACTTCACTTGTTTCATTACTGGATGAATCCGTGTTTTTGAATGAATATTAAATGAATGATTCAATAACTCGTTCATAAACACTTCACTTGTTTCATTCCTGGATGAATCAGTGTTTTTGAATGAATATTGAATGAATGATTCAATGACTCACTTATAAAGACTTCACTTGTTTCATTACTGGGTGAATCAGTGTTTTTGAATGAATATTGAATGAATGATTCAATGACTAACTTATAAACACTTCACTTGTTTCATTACTGGATGAATCTGTGTTTTTGAATGAATATTGAATGAATGATTCAATGACTCGCTTATAAAGACTTCACTTGTTTCATTACTGGATGAATCAGTGTTTATGAATGAATATTGAATGAATGATTCAATGACTCGCTCATCAACACTTCACTTGTTTCATTTCTGGATGAATCTGTGTTTTTGAATGAATATTGAATGAATGATTCAATGACTCGCTCATAAAGACTTCACTTGTTTCATTACTGGATGAATCTGTGTTTTTGAATGAATATTGAATGAATGATTCAATGACTCACTTATAAACACTTCACTTGTTTCATTACTGGATGAATCAGGGTTTTTGAATGAATATTGAATGAATGATTTAATGACTCACTTATAAATACTTCACTTGTTTCATTACTGGATGAATCTGTGTTTTTGAATGAATATTGAATGAATGATTCAATGACTCACTTATAAACACTTCACTTGTTTCATTACTGGATGAATCCGTGTTTTTGGATGAATATTGAATGAATGATTCAATGACTCACTTATAAACACTTCACTTGTTTCATTACTGGATGAATCTGTGTTTTTGAACAAATCTCTTGAACGAATGATTCAATAATATAAATATAATATATACATATTTTTAGAGTTACTTTCAAAAGGTGATTTTTCTCTATTTTGATCGCTACTGTAGACATCAATGTTTATATTATGCGAACTATAAACATTTATCTCAGTACTTCTGTGATAATATGAATTACTGTAACAGAAATAACTATAGTGTGGTTGTTTCATAGCTATTCATGACGACTGCTCTCTCTCTCTCGCAGATCTGAAGGTTCGCTGCGATCGTACTTGTCAAAAGTTTGATAGACAGAGCCGAATTGTTGTCAGCTGAATTAAACTTTTTTCATAATTGACAAACTTTGCAACATAGATGCTACTATTGAGTTAAATCAATGGCCATATATATATACAGTATATGACAAATAAATAGGACTGAATAATGACACTATAGTCTTCTGTTTATGACTGAAGTGCATTTGAAACATTATGTACTGTTAGGCATAATTGAAAATTTTTTTCTTTCTCGCGGAGGGGGGGTGTGCTTGTCTGAAGTATAAAATCATTGGTTACCCGTAAGCCAATCACATAACGTTTGGTTATGACGTGTGCTATTCCAACGGATTCTCATCCCAAGGCGTCATATACTGACGCTTTTGCCAAAGCGTCTACATCCAACGCACATGGCACCCTTTAGCGTCAATTTAACACGTTTCGGTTATGGGTAGGTTTAGGTCTGGGGTAGGGTTAGGGTTAGACCACTAGGAGGCGCCTTCTGGCCCATATATCTGCGTCTCATATTGACGCTAAAGGGTGCCATGTGGGTTGGATGTATACGCATTGGCAAAAGCGTCAGTATATGACGCCTTGGGATGAGAACGGGCTGGTTATTCGCCAGCTCAGCCGCATCGAACTTCCACTGTAAACACATGTATGATGCGAAAACGAAACCATCGAGCGAAATACCGGAGTGAACATGGCTGACCGAGTTTTGCTGCCTCCTTAACCTGATCCTCCATGAGTGCAACCAAGGGGAACACAATCACAACTATCGCCTTGCCGGCCTTTGGCCTGCCCAGTTTCTCGCTGACGATCGGTAATAGTTGATAAATTAAACTTTTCCCCAAACCTGTCGGGAGTAGGGCCACGACATCACCTCCATTCAAAATGGTTTAACAAACACTCTTCTTGTTCGGGCTTCAGTTTGGAAATGCCGGGAATATTCTCCACAACAAAGCAAATTGCATCCCGTGTCTCCATAACCGCGGTCGTTTTCGATTTCCCCAATCTTAAACTCGGTGCTTAGCGTCTACGTCACGGCTCTCAGCCCGCCCTCTGTTCGTTGATTGGCCGGCTGTTTTCAGGCCGGAGGAAAACTGAGAGACATGTCGATGTCTCAGACTGAGTACAGAAGCGAACTGAAATAGAGCGGAAGCATGAAGTCTGACGCAGTCAGGCTATTAGCATGATGCATACGGGCAAAACGGCAATGAGGAAAGTTGCAAAGCAGCAGTTGCAAATATCGGCATGAAGCGGATGCAAGTACAACTACAAGCTGAACAGAAATGGGGTGCTAAAACGATGACAGCAGACAAGAGAAGCTAGCTAGATGAGACGATGATGCTGGACTTACGGCTCTAAAGTCTGTTACCCCTGTGGACGGGTTAACAGCAGACCGTAAGGAAGAGGACGAGGGCACGGGTCCTCTGTCCACATGTGTCTTTCGAACAGCTGGAGCACCAAAGCCTTGACTATGAACCACTGAACCGCTATTCGTGACGGACGAATTCTTCCCTGAAATAGTGTCAAAGAAAACAAAGATGACTCCCAAAACACCAACAGAACAGTTGAGGTACAGGATAGATCATTAAAAATTACAAGAAATATTATTGAAAGTCCTGTAGAATTAGAGCTGCACGATTCTGGTTAAAGGGATAGTTCACCCAGAAATGAAAACTCTGTCAGTAATTACTCTCCCTCATGTTGTTCCAACCCCGTAAGACTTTCGTTCATCTTCGGAACACAAATGAAGATATTTTTTATTAAATCTGAGAGCTGGATCACTCCTCCATAGGCTTCTTAAGGGATCGAAACTGACCGGCCCAGAAAAGTTATTAAAGACATCGTTAAAATAGTCCGAGTGACTACAGTGGCTCAACCTTAAGTTTATCAAGCGACGAGAATACTTTTTGTGCGCAAAAAAACAAACAAAAATAACGACTTTATTCAACTATTCATTTCCTTCTCTGTTGGCCTCGAGATTTCACGTAGTGTAACAGCGCAGCGCTTCTGTGTTGTACGTCACACACACACACACACACACACACACACACACACACACACACACACACACACACACACACACACACACACACACACACACACACACACACACACACACAACCAGTGTCGGCCAATAGTGAGCCTGTGTGTGACGTACAACACAGAAGCGCTGCGCTGTTACACTACGTAAAATCTCGAGGCCCGCAGAGAAGGAAATGAATAGTTGAATAAAGTCGTTATTTTTTTTTTTTGCGCACAAAAGGTATTCTCGTCACTCGGACTATTTTAACGATGTCTTTAACTTTTCTAGGCCAGCCCGTTTCGATCCCTTAGAAGCCTATGGAGGAGTGATCCAGCTCTCAGATTTAATCACAAATATCTTAATTTGTGTTCCGAAGATGAACGAAAGTCTTACGGGGTTGAACAACATGAGGGAGAGTAATTACTGACAGAGTTTTCATTTTGGGGTGAACTATCCCTTTAAATTGAGAATTACGATTTTTTTTTTGTTTCAAACGGAGTTCACGATTCTGAACAGACAAATAAACAAAATAATGTAAATTTACTACTAGTGGTTCGGACAAAATGTTAATAGCTGCAGTCTATTTAAAACATTTAATTAATCTGAATGAATTATTTGAGTGAATGATTCAATGACTCACTTATAAATACTTCACTTGTTTTATTACTGGATGATTCAGCATTTTTGAACGAATCTCTTGAATGAATGATTCAATGACAAATATATTTTTAACAGTCACTAGTCGCCACCTACTGGTGTAACGATGTAATAGATACAATCTTTATTCACGAAGGTGTTTGAATAACGATTAATCGTGCAGCTCTATGTAGAATTTAGTCAAAAGCATCTGAATTTTATTTTTCTGATTATTTATTCAATCAAGAGCACACCTCACATGATTTGATCAAGCATTTATCAAGCATTTAATGTAATAAGAGCGATGATTGGCAATTTATATACAGTTGCTTTAATAAATTCCAGTCGCTTTCGTCCCGATTGTGCAATGATTCTGGATGAATAAGACCTTCACAAACTGATTAAAAGGCTCTAGATGCAGGAAAACCCTTGATATGTGAGAGAAAGTGACAGCAATCAAGAAACAGAAGAAAGCTAAATGTAAAAGTCAGTTTGAAAACAGTCAGGTGTGTGATTTACTTTCACATGAATTCAGCCGCTCCATTAAGGCTCAAGCAAATATATATTAAAGTCCCCCTGTGTTGAAAATCAATGGTGCTTTTAATATGCTTTAAATCAAACCATGTGTAAACTCATAAGTCGACAGCATTGCTGAGTATTTTCTCCTTAAAACAAAAGACAGTCTCAAAAACACGGGTTGAAATCGCTGGTGTTTCTGACGTCACAAACGACCTTGTAACCAATCTTTTTTTTTGCAAGATTTTTTTTTTTTTTTAAATATGTCATTTTGGTGATTAAAGATATAAAATTATTGACTACAGGGGGACTTTAAATGTTTGCCTACATTCTAACATATGCACAATTCCAAATAAAAAGTAAAATAAAAGTACATTACACATGGCATTAATTCTTTTTGGTATAGCATGAAATAAGTAATTTATAATCAACATTTTTCAGTGAGATCATTGCAAAATTAGGCATCTTAAGTGCCAAAGGTCCAAATTCACTAGCGGTGCACCACTGCAAAGGTTTCATTTCTTCAAACTATGAGCAATATTTACAAATCATTAAAAATAGCCAACAGCAACCACAACCCACTACAATAACCAACTAGATTTATGTGAGTTGCAGAAGTGTGCAAAGTGGTAGAAATGTGATTGAAGGGGAATCTCAACAAACCTGTCAAGAGCAAGAAGCAAAAGAAAAAACAATATATATATATATATGCAATTAAAGCAATTACTGCAATTATGCATATATAATGTTTGTGAGTAAACATCATACACTGATTGTTTAATTAAAAGTACTGCAATTATGCATATATGTTTGTGAGAATCTAATAATAATTAATTTAAAAAAAAAAGTATATATATATATATATATGCACACATGGCCATTATTTTAATTTTACATTGTGACATTATGGCAATTAAATGCATTTTATATTGTTTTATATTATTATTTACATTGTTTATGTTGTTAAATAAAAAAATGTTATTCCTTAAATAAGAATCTAAAGATCATCATATATATATATATATATATGGCCATTATTTTAATTTTACATTGTGACATTATGGCAATTAAATGCATTTTATATTGTATTATATACATTTAAAAATGTAAAGTACTTGTATGTTTTATGTCAATTTAAACTAAAGAATCATGGTATTACAGTATTTATAAGGGTGGAAATATATATTACAGTAATGATGATCATTGCGAAAAACGACCAAAAAACAAAATGTGAAGTTATATGTCAATAATAAAATGTATTTAATAGCTTAAATGTCACATCCCAAAATAATCTTCATGGGCCTAATATTATTTGACTTTGAAATATGAGTCGGGCATATTTTCGTGATATTACAAAGGAGTGATTGTAACATTTACATACAAAAGCTCTAAATCTGCACTAATAATATTCTGAAATTCAAAGTAAAAATGTCTCATAAAAACAAACTGACAAGCTACAAAGGTTCATATAGAGTAGAAATGTTCTGTATTTGCAGTTCCAGAGGGGTGTGAGAACCTGGCATGAACATATTTAGCCAGTCGTGGGAACATTGGTGCTCAGTTTAAGGGTGTGAACCGCGAACTTTAGAGGAACTCACTTCTCTACATCTCTCACACCACTACACAGGCATCTTGTGCCATGGAGAGGAAGAGCTTCTTTCTTTCTTAACTCAGAGATAGTAGTGAAACTACCAACGCCCCACCCATGCCCTTTCTGTGCCTGTTATAGTAATAAACACACCACAAACAACACTAAACAAACCCCAGCATCAAACAAAAGAAAGAATTAGTAGTGTAAACACCTCGCTGTAAAGGTTATGCATCGGAATATTCTTAACTTAAAAGTGCTGAATATATGTAAACATGTATGTTGGTGTTAGAGGTGACTTCAGTGTGTTTATGAGCTCCATGTTCAAAACAAACAAAAACATTATTGCTGTATATGTAAACGCTATAATAGCTCTCTATAATAAACTGTAAAAAACTATATCTGCTAAATATCAAGATTTCTGGATGGATAATTATTTTATACAATCTGTACTTGTGTAGTTGTGTATATTTTGAAGCATATTTTGTTTCAATATCACTTTTTTTTTCTGTATCTTTATTATCCTTCTGATATCGTACCCTTGTTAAAATATGTATGTATATATGAAGAGTTTGGTTCCAAAACGCAATAAATCCATTTAGATTAGTTTGAGTAAAAATGTGTTTTCTTTACCAAGAAAGTGGAAAGATGAAAACCACTATTTTCTGTTTCAAAACTTTCACATAGCATTTGTAGGTCATAATAACAAAAGAAAATTTAAATCCAGGTTTTGATTTTCAAAGATTTATTATAAAAACGGATTATTTTTCCCCCCAAAATGCAATAAATCCATTTTTTTTTTATTCAAAATGCAATTAATCCATTGAATCAATATAAATGTTTTTTTTTTTCATATTGAAACTGTTGAAAATACACAACAACGTAAGTTTATTAGTATAACATTTTTATTAAGAACTGTAAAGAAGATTGAACACGTTTTTCCTCCTCCCGAGTGCCTCATCTTCTTAATCTCCTCACGTGATTGATTGAGAAATGATTCGATTTCGATGCCTTACGTTTCTCACCCGCCGCAGAAACAACCACAGGTTCATCAATGCCGGCAAAATTATTCATTTTTTTGTTTGTTTGTTGATGGAAAAGTACAAAATAGATAAGAAGAACTGGAAGCCGGGTGTATTTAAGGCGCTGCCGTTACTGTTTACATTGCGTGGAATGGTGCGTTGTGATTGGTTGAGAGCGGATATATCGCATTCTGCAGAGAAGGGAGACTGGCGTTTGTCGCGGTTTGGAAAGAAAGGGAGAAAACATGACAGAATAACACGGCGGATATCGCATTTTACTTAAAATTAAACATTGACTTTTCAATACCAACCAGATACAATACTGATACGGAGTTTATCGCGTTTTGGAACCAAACTCTTCATATATATATATATATATATATATATATATATATATATATATATATATATATATATATTATTTACTTTTTTTATTATTATTATTTATTTTTTTATGTTATTATTATTTTTAAATTTTTTTCTTCTTTTCTTCTTTCACTGGGGTAATGGCTGATTGTTTGTCTTCGTCATTTTGTATGTTTAAACAATAAAAATTTGGTTACAAAAAAAAAAAAAAACTATATCTGCATACATTCAGTACTATCAAATTAAGTTGATACTAGAGTACTATCTCTCAGCTTTGACTTTACTTTTAGTAACGCATTTTGATTCCGAATTGTGTGCAATTCTTAATTTCATTGCATAATTTTATTGGGATTTTTGGCCAGAATGCACTACATAGTGACCAGATTTCATGCAAAATGCTGGTTAAATGATGCTATTTTACCCTTGAGCACTTGTGTACTTTAAATCGCTTAAAACAGAAAAATCTGCAAAAATTATTAATCTCAAAAGACTTTTTTTTGTGCACGATGCATAAAAAAAAAGAAAATTGCTAACACTTTATAATAAGGTAACATTAGTTAATGCTTCATAACCTAACATTAATTAACTAAAATTATATATCAAAGAGCAATACATTTGTTATCTTTGTTAACATTGGTTAATAAAAACACACCTGTTAATTATTAGCTCAAGTACATTAAATAATATTAACAGATGCAACTTTTGATATTAATAATGTTTTAGTAAATGTTGAAATTGATTAATAAATGCTTTAAGTATTTTTAATTACTAGTTCAGGTTAATGTAGTCAACTAATGCTATGAAATCTTATTGCAAAAGTGTTACTGAAGTGTTACCATTTGAAGAATCTTGGAACTTGCAGGATGAATCGCTTTGTTTTATTCTTGATGTGTTAGTTGTTTTGGATAAAATTGTTGGATAAAATGGACTTTAATAGATAAAAAGTTTGTGGTCGGTAAGATTTTTTAAAATGTTTCAGAAAAGTCACTTATGCTCACCAAGGCTGCATTTATTTGATTAAAAACACACGCACACACTCACACACTCATACACACACACACTCATACACACACTCACTCACCCACACTCACTCATACACACACACTCACTCACCCTCATACACTCACCCACACACACTCACTCATACACACACTCACTCACCCACACTCACTCATACACTCACCCACACACTCACACACTCACACACTCACACACTCACACACTCACACACTCACACACTCACACACTCACACACTCACTCACACACACACTCATACACACACACTCACTAACCCTCATACACACACTCACACACTCACACACTCACACACTCACTCACTCACTCACTCACTCACTCACTCACTCACTCACTCACTCACTCACTCACTCACTCACTCACTCACTCACTCACACGTTAAAAATTATTACAGATTCTTTGATGAATAGAAAGTTCAAAACAGCATTTATTTGAAACAGAACCCTACATTTAGATGCAGGTCAACAAGGCTGAGTTTAAAAGGACCACACACACACACACACACAGTCATGAGAACATATGTATGTGTGAAAACAGACTTTCTCACGCACACACACAAACACTCTCTTTTGGGAAACACTCAATCATATGCTCTATTATCAGTTCACATTTTGTCATTGTTTACTCATCCTTATGTCATTCTAATCCTGTGTATTACTACAATACTGTTCAAAAGTTTGTGGTCGGTAAGATTTTTAAAAATGTTTTAGAAAAGTCACTTATGCTCACCAAGGCTGCATTTATTTGATTAAAAACACAGTAAAACACACGCACACACTCACACACACACACACTCACTCACTCACCCACACACACATACACTCACTCAATCACCCACACACACATACACTCACTCACTCATTCACCCACTCACTCACCCTCATACACTCACTCACACACGCATACACACTCACACACACTCTCTAACCCACACTCTCTCTCTCTCACACACACACACATACACATGCACACACTCATACACACCCACACACTCATTCACCCACTCACTCACCCTCATACACTCACTCACACACGCATACACACTCACACACACACTCTCTAACCCACACTCTCTCACACACACACACACTCATACACACCCACACACTCATTCACACACACACACACACACACACACACACACACACACACACACACACACACACACACACACACACACACACACACACACACACACACACTCACACAAATGTTAAAAATTATTAAAGATTCGTTGATGAATAGGAAGTTCAAAAGAACAGCATTTATTTGAAACAGAATCTTTTGTAACATTATTAATGCCTTTACTGTCACTTCTGAATTCAATGTGTCCTTGCTGAACAAAAGTATCAAATTCTTTTAAAAAAAAAATCTTAATGACCCCACACTTTTGAACGGTAGTTTATAAGCTTTCATTGTGTGCAAAAGAGCAGCGTGAACATTCTGCCAAACATCTTTTGATGAGGAAAGAAAATACAGGTTTGAGTCCAACATGAGGCTGAGTAACTCTTCATTTTTTGGGTGAAATATTCCTTCGTGTAGACAAATAAACCTGCCGTTGTCCGTTATTTGACTGCATGACGCTGCAGTTGCTTATTATCTCATGCCAAGACGACTTATCTCTCCTGTCACAGCTGTCCTATGATGAGCTCACAACGCACCGTTGCGTTTCGATATCGCCAAAATGGGGAAGTGTTTGACTTTCCATTATCAGACTCACAGTGCATGATCTGTCATATTATTGAGTTCGTTGTCGTCTTATGAAATATAATGTGGGTTGTGAAATGCGGTACTACTCTGAAGATGTTTACAATTAAAACTTGAATTATTACTTATTAGGGCTGGGTATTGACACAAATTTCACACTTCGATTCGATTCGGATTCGATTCGATTCAATATTGATTATTTTGGATATCAGGTACAATACATGGCTAATTTTCTCAAGGAAAACAAATCTCTTAACTAATGCTGTAAACTATGGGAGTCAGTTGTAGCCTATAGGCTCCATTAGCCTACTATAATATTGAAGGTAAAAATTAACTGATTTGTAGCTATACAAACACTTAAATTACACTTATTTATTTTTATAATAATAAAGTTATATGAAATATAAACATTTAAATGGTGGCTGTCATAAAAACTTGCCAGATTTTTTCAAACATCCATTAAATATCGAAGAACATTAAAAATTATAATGAATATGTAATATGGTGCATATATTTAGCAAAATGCTCCTCTTTAGAGTTAATTTTTCTAGCTGACTAACGAGTTTATGGTCACATATGGTTTTTCTGAGATAAATGTGACGTTACATGACATTGTTTACAAGTTGTTTTACTGACGTCTTCCCACGGTTGAAACACTGATTGAGCGATTCCATGTGACATGATACGGATTTCGATAAGTTGTACTCTATCTTTTAACACACTTTCAGACGTTCATTCATGTTTATTTCACGCTGTAACTGGTGTTATTAAGGCGGAAGAGGAGATCATGTGCTTCTCTTGAGCTGAGCTGAGCCAGAGCGATCTCACGCCACAGCGCCAAAACGGTATTTATGTTTTTGAATTTCGTAAGAAAATGGACGTAATTTGAAATTTGAGACTTTATTTAGTATCAATAGTAACAAAGCAGAAAGATTATTGCGATTTATTGGATGGGATGCGCGCTACAATGTTCCATTCATCCATCAACTGAAAGCAGGATGACTAATCGATTCTTGAGATTTAAGAATCAATATCGGTTCATAAAAATGAGAATCGATTAATAGTTATTTTTTGCCCAGCCCTATTACTTACAAGAAAACTCCAGGTTCAATATAAATAGAGCTTTACCACAGAAAATAATTATATCATTCAGTTTGTAAAACAAGCAAATATTGTGTACAATCATGCACTTACAATGGAAGCAAGTCTATAATGGGGCATTAAACTAGAATCTGAAAGTATCGCTAAGTTAACTAGTAGTTGGACCAGTGACATAAAATATATAATCAGTTTTGCACAAAGTTATATTCAGAAACTCCTGTCAGGACTATTAAACTCAAAGTACGTGGCAAGATTAGCAGAAAAGTTTGTGACGCAACTATTCATATTGTTTACCAGTTAACTAACACTATTAAAAAATAGTATTTGGTCATTTAAAAAAAGCTAAAATAAAACAAAACAAAACTTTAGATTAAAAAAATAAACTTTTAAACGTTTAAGCTGAACTACTAAATTTACTAGAATACCGAAATAAAAATAAATTAAAGATATACAATAATATTTAAAACAAAAACTAATAAAAATGACAATCGCATGGCAAAAATGCTAAAACTTTAACTAAAATGAAAATGAAAATATAAAAATAAATACTATAATAGTATATAAATAATAGTAAAACAACACTTAACCATGTAAAAAATTGAAGAATTAATACATTTTACAAACATATTCGTGTTTTAAAACTGAGGGACAAGTTATTATTTTTTGTGTATTAATTATTCATTGGATTTAACCTGGAACGCTCCTGACGGTTAGCATGTAGTTTGGGTCTGGTTATAGTTGGCTACAGTATTAAAACTTTCTGACATTTCTTCTCTGTCTAGAAATAATAATAAATCAAGCATACATCATAACATCCAAAACTCATTCTAATGATCTCATTAAATATAAAGATTTTCCTCTAGACATTACAGTTAGTTAACGTGCTGCACACAACAAGCCCTTAATATTATAATAAAATTACAATACCAGATAAAAATCTCATTCTTTTTTACCGCATTATAAAACCATAAAGATAAACGTCATAATGCATTTTTTATATAATTAAAACTCACACTCACACACTCTCTCTCATGCTTATCAGATGAGCTAGGTAATTAAATCAGTAAATCACGAACACACATTCATGTTGGCAGGGGTTTCTCACCATAAGGAGGCGGCGCTGGTCTCTGTGGTCCGGGTTTTTTCGGAGGGGGAAGCGGGTACGTCGGCTTTCGGCTCATCGGCGCTGAAGTCGAACTCTGGGAACGAACACAAATCACAACACAGAGTTGATAATCACACACACACACACACAAAAATTAAATGCTTATTGCATATTGCAAAGTTAACTGCCTATATTTTCTAGTGTGTAAAACTAGAGCTTTCTGTCCCTCCATTGAAAATGTATGTACGGTATACTGTCCTTGTCCAGAAAGGAAATAAAGACATCATCAAAGTAGTCCATGTGACATCAGTGGGTTAGTTAGAATGTGTTGAAGCATCGAAAATACATTTTGGTCCAAAAATAACAAAAACTAGGACTTTATTCAGCTTTGTATTGTCTTCCGGTTCTGTTGTGGATCCGCGTTCAGTGCCGCTGCTGACGTAAGACGCTGCTGACGTGTGTCTGGTGTGTGTGTGTGTGTGTGTATTCTGGTTCTGTTGTGGATCCGCGTTCAGTGCCGCCGCTGACGTAAGACGCTGCTGACGTGTGTCTGGTGTGTGTGTGTGTGTGTGTGTGTGTATTCTGGTTCTGTTGTGGATCCGCGTTCAGTGCCGCCGCTGACGTAAGACGCTGCTGACGTGTGTCTGGTGTGTGTGTGTGTGTGTGTGTGTGTGTGTGTATTCTGGTTCTGTTGTGGATCCGCGTTCAGTGCCGCCGCTGACGTAAGATGCTGCTGACGTGTGTCTGGTGTGTGTGTGTGTGTGTGTGTATTCCGGTTCTGTTGTGGATCCGCGTTCAGTGCCGCCGCTGACGTAAGACGCTGCTGACGTGTGTCTGGTGTGTGTGTGTGTGTGTGTGTGTCTGGTGCGCCCGAGCTTCGTTTACAGTCTGAGGGAGACGCACGCTGGAAACAAAACAATCTTCGCAAACATGTCTAAGGATTTCCACACAGAGGAAGACTTGCATTTTTTTGCCCAGCCATATTTATTTGAACCCGAATACACACACATACACACACTCACCAGACACACGTCAGCAGCGTCTTACGTCAGCAGCGGCACTGAACGCGGATCCACAACAGAACCGGAAGACAATACAAAGCTGAATAAAGTCCTAGTTTTTGTTATTTTTGGACCAAAATGTATTTTCGATGCTTCAACACATTCTAACTAACCCACTGATGTCACATGGACTACTTTGATGATGTCTTTATTTCCTTTCTGGACAAGGACAGTATACCGTACACACATTTACAATGGAGGGACAGAAAGCTCAAGGACTAAATCTAAAATATCTTAAACTGTGTTCCGTAGATGAACGGAGGTCTTACGGGCTTGGAGCGACATGAGGGTGAGGCATTAATCACAGCATTTTTGGGTGAACTAACCCTTTAAGCACAATTGGACCCTTTTCACATTTCCAGGTTTCTCGAAATGGAAATCATCATATTTGGCTAAACTTCTATGATGGTGAATGGAAACTAGAAAAAAATTTAAAAAAATTATTATGTAAAACAATATGTAGCATTGGACCCTTTTCACATTTCATCACAGTTAGGTAAACTTCTATGGTGATGAATGGAAACTACAACAAATTAAATTTTTATGTTCCTGTTTGCCCCAATAGCAAAAATTTTTTTAAATTAAATAAAAAAATCCACAATAGTGTTTGTATGACAATTTTATTACAAAAGTTATAAAAGTCATTGGTCAGAAGAGAGAAAGAGAGATTTCAAATTTGCCGTCTCTTTCTCAGCCATTGTAATAGAAACACTCACACAGCAGCATTAGCTAGTTTTTTTAATTTGATACCACAAAGTGTTATACTGTACATAAGTGACCGTATTATGCTTTTTAGGATATTACCTTACATTTGGTGTGTATATAGCTTTATAGTGACTGTAATAAAGCTGTTTGTGAATGTAAACGTTCTGCAGAGTTTCAGAGATTAAAGTGCAGATCAATTGAGTTTTTGTCTCCCGAAAGAAAGAAGTGATTCTGAACTGCCTGAAACGAGCCGTCAGTAGTTCCAGTTTTACTTCCTGATCAAAGCTACGTAGATTTGTTTTGATTGGACCTGCCCTGCCCTCAAACACTGTACTTGTAGTTGAGGCCTGAAAGAGTTTGGTTCGTGTCTTCGACATGCCGAGATGAGATTGATGCGGTAAAAGCGACGCAATCGTTACTGTGTATCAAATGCTGAGGAACAGCTGAAATTCAGATATGGTTATAGGCGTTTGGTTTCTAACACGCGCTGCAAGAGGTCGACCAATCACAACAGACTGGGCCATCTGACCAATCAGAGAAGAGTAGACCAATCACAACAGACTGGGCCATCTGACCTATCAGAGCAGAGTAGACCAATCACAACCGACTAGGCCGTCTGACCAATCAGAGAAGAGTAGACCAATCACAACAGACTGGGCCATCTGACCTATCAGAGCAGAGTAGACCAATCACAACCGACTAGGCCGTCTGACCAATCAGAGAAGAGTAGACCAATCACAACAGACTGGGCCATCTGACCAATCAGAGCAGAGTAGACCAATCACAACAGACTGGGCCATCTGACCAATCAGAGCAGAGTAGACCAATCACAGCAGACTGGGCCATCTGACCTATCAGAGCAGAGTAGACCAATCACAGCAGACTGGGCCATCTGACCTATCAGAGCAGAGTAGACCAATCACAACCGACTAGGCCGTCTGACCAATCAGAGAAGAGTAGACCAATCACAACAGACTGGGCCATCTGACCAATCAGAGCAGAGTAGACCAATCACAACAGACTGGGCCATCTGACCAATCAGAGCAGAGTAGACCAATCACAACAGACTGGGCCATCTGACCTATCAGAGCAGAGTAGACCAATCACAACAGACTGGGCCATCTGACCTATCAGAGCAGAGTAGACCAATCACAACCGACTAGGCCGTCTGACCAATCAGAGCAGAGTAGACCAATCACTACAGACTGGGCCATCTGACCAATCAGAGCAGAGTAGACCAATCACAACAGACTGGGCCATCTGACCAATCAGAGCAGAGTAGACCAATCACAACAGACTGGGCCATCTGACCAATCAGAGCAGAGTAGACCAATCACTACAGACTGGGCCATCTGACCAATCAGAGCAGAGTAGACCAATCACAACAGACTGGGCCATCTGACCAATCAGAGCAGAGTAGACCAATCACTACAGACTGGGCCATCTGACCAATCAGAGCAGAGTAGACCAATCACTACAGACTGGGCCATCTGACCAATCAGAGCAGAGTAGACCAATCACAACAGACTGGGCCATCTGACCAATCAGAGCAGAGTAGACCAATCACTACAGACTGGGCCATCTGACCAATCAGAGCAGAGTAGACCAATCACAACAGACTGGGCCATCTGACCAATCAGAGCAGAGTAGACCAATCACAGCAGACTGGGCCATCTGACCAATCAGAGCAGAGTAGACCAATCACAACAGACTGGGCCATCTGACCAATCAGAGCAGAGTAGACCAATCACAACAGACTGGGCCATCTGACCAATCAGAGCAGAGTAGACCAATCACAACAGACTGGGCCATCTGACCAATCAGAGCAGAGTAGACCAATCACAGCAGACTGGGCCATCTGACCAATCAGAGCAGAGTAGACCAATCACAACAGACTGGGCCATCTGACCAATCAGAGCAGAGTAGACCAATCACTACAGACTGGGCCATCTGACCAATCAGAGCACAGTAGACCAATCACAACAGACTGGGCCATCTGACCAATCAGAGCAGAGTAGACCAATCACTACAGACTGGGCCATCTGACCAATCAGAGCAGAGTAGACCAATCACAGCAGACTGGGCCATCTGACCAATCAGAGCAGAGTAGACCAATCACAGCAGACTGGGCCATCTGACCAATCAGAGCAGAGTAGACCAATCACAGCAGACTGGGCCATCTGACCAATCAGAGCAGAGTAGGCTTGTAGAAAGGCGGGGTTTAGAGAGACCGAATCTTTTATCTAATCGTTTCAGACATTGTGAGAAAAGAGCTAATGCTGCAATGTATATTATGAGAAAATTAAAGTGTTTTTTGACCTTGGATACATGTAAAGTTGTTGTAGGAGACTCCAAAACAAAATAAGGAGCCTTTAAAATAGCATAATAGGGGCACTTTAAAAATGAAAATATATATATAAAAAATGTAATTTATATTAATAACTATGAATATGTGCCATCAAAAGTCTGTGAAAAGGGTCCATGAACACTTGCTTAGATTGTCATGTGAACTGCAAGTTTGCAATGCAAGTTTAAGTGACATCTATACTGGAAATGATTGTTTATTTAGCATGTTTAAGGCACTTTTGTCAAAAATGGTATGCATTGCATTGTGGGATATGCAGTATGCTCTGGTTGTATCCTGCACATTTTGATAAATGTAGCAGATATTCCACGAATTTAAAGTTTACTCATAACATGCATAATGCATACCATAAAACATGCAGTATGCCATTCCTTTAACAAACTGAGTAATCTCAACTTAAATTTCCCAAATTCAGTGTAAACTCACATCCGAATGAACTATTGTAGATTTCTCTTTTCGAAAATCCCTTGAACATACCTTTGACATTTGAGAAAAATCAGCAAAACCACCTTTCCCTCCAAAAGAGTCGCTACTGAACGGGTCTGACGCAGCAAACGGATCTGTGTATGAAAGAGAGAAAGCACAAGCAATGTATTTGATGGAAACATCTGACCGTAATAACCGGCAACGTTTCAACCCACTGCAAATACTCAGCTCTGTCCTTTCACTGAAGAGATCGGGCACAACACAGGTGCTATTTTAAGAGAGCGGCTTGTATGTGGCCAGTGTTTCTCTTTTTCCATGACTTTTCAGCTCCTGAAAAGTGCACATTTTGTTTTCCATCTGCAGCGTGACGTATGTTTACCATTAACTAATGACGACGTTATGAGGGTTTACTGTGCATGAAAGAGCCATTCCTGCTTACCAGTACATTTATGTTATGTACAAGGTCTTAATATAGTGAATTACAACAGATAAAAAATCACAGGTGAAACTCTATAGAAACCATTTTATTGAAGTATTCCACATATTTCTTGTCACTTTCACGACATGTTTCAAAGTTTTCTTGGAAATATTGTTTTAACAAAAGCCAGTTTCTTAACGACATCATCCTCTAGTAGGAAGTGACATCATTTTAGAGGGAAAACATCATCAAAAACATCAGTAAGTACTGTCAATAGGTCTGATGAATTATGGCATATTGTTTTGTTTGTTGATTTGTGTCTCTAAAACATTCATCATGTTAGATAAAATTAGTTAGTTGGACAATATAAATGTTATTTCCAGCCTGTTCATTTTCATCCTGTAATCATCCAGAGAGTTGTTTTTAAAAGTTTGGGGTCAGTTATATTTTTAATGCTCATGTTCACCAAGGCTGTATTTATTAGATCAAAAATACAGTAAAAAACGTAATACTGTGAAATTGAATTACAATAGCATCATTACTCCTGTCTTTAGTGTCACATGATCCTTCAGAAATCATTCTAATATGATGATTTGCTGCTCAAGAAACTTTTCTTATTATCAATGATGAAAACACAGAGTTAATAAAAACTATTTTCAGT